CTCAAGAGGTCATCTAGTCCACTCCCCTGCACTAAGGAAGGACTAAGTATCATCTAGACCACTCCTGACAGGTGTTTGTCTAACCTGTTCTTTAAAAACCTCCAGTGAGGGAGATTCCACAATCACTCTAGGTAATTCGTTCCAGTGCTTAACTACCCTTACAGCTAGGAAGTTTTTCCTAATGTCTAACCTAAATTTCGTTTGCTGCAATTTAAGCCCATTGCTTCTTGTCCTGTCCTCAGTGGATAAGGAGAACAATTTATCACCCTCCTCTTTGTAACAACCTTTTACTGACATGAAAACTGTTATCATGTCCCCCCCTCAGTCTACTCTCCTCCAGACTAAACAAACCCAATTTTGTCTGTCTTCCCTCATAGGTCATGTTTTCTAGACCTTTCATCATTTTTGTTGCTCTCCTCTGGACTTTCTCCAATTTGTCCACATTTTTCCCCACGTGTGGGTCCCAAAACTTGACCCAGGACTCCAGTTTAGGCCTTATCAGTGCTGACTAGAGTGGAAGAGTTAATTCCACTATTATTTTAGTGTTAATAACAGTCAAAACAAAATGAATTGAAATAAGAAAGTCAAAATGAAATCTTTGTACCTTATTAAAAAAATCTGTTGACATTATCAAAATGAAATAAGAAAGTCAGACGGTTTTGTTTAGACTTTTTCTCATGAAAAATGTTGTCAAAAATTGGCATATTCCTGCAAAACGGTTTTTGACAAACCTGCATTTTTCAATGGAAAACTGTTCTACGTAGCAAAATGCAGCCAGCTCTAGCACACCATTGCACTCCTAAACTGTCTGAAAAGCTGATTCAGGGTGCTCTAGTGCAGCGTTTTTCAAACTGTGGGTCACAACCCAGTACTGGGTCGTGGAACGTAAGGCACTGGGTCGCCTTGCTCTGGTCAGCACTGCCTACCGAGACATTAAAAGTCCCATCCGTGGTGCTGCCCAGCTAAGGCAGGCTAGTGCCTACCCATTCCAACACTGCGCTGCACCCCAGAAGCAGCCAGCACCGGGTCCGGCTTCTAGGCAGGGGAGCCACAGGGAACCGAGCACCAACGGGAACCAGCCAATGGGAACTGGGGCGGGGGAGCAGTGCCTGCAGGCGAGAGTTGCACAAAGCTGCTTGCGCACCTCTGCCTAGGAGCCAGACCTGTTGCTCACTGCTTCCAGGGCACAGCACGGTCCATGGTGCCAGGACAGGCAGGAAGCCTGCCTTAGCACCCCCACTGCGCTGCTGACCAGGAGCTGCTGGAGGTTAAGTCCGTGCCCCAACCCTGTGCCCCAATCCCCTGCCCCAGCCTTAACCCCCCCAAACCTGGAACCCCTTCCTGCACCCCAAACCCCCCATCCCTGGCCCCACCCCAGAGCCTGCACTCACAGCCCAGAGCCCTGACCCCCTCCCACACCCTGAACCCCTCATTCCCGGACCCCCCCTGTAGTCCTGACCCCCATACCCCAACCCTCTGCCCCAGCCCTGAGCCCCTCCCACACCCCAAACCCCTCATCCCCAACTTCTTTGGGTCGCGGGCATCAACAATTTTCTTCAACTGGTTCCCCAGAAAAAAAGTTTGAAAATCACTGCTCTAGTGGACAGTGCACAGGTATAGGAGCTGAACTCCAATCCCAGAGCTGCTGACTGCCATGGACTTAGTGTGTTGCCTTGGGCAAGTTACTTAACTCTGTAACATGGGCTCAATAATACTTACTTACCTACACCACAGGGGTGTGGTGATTAATTCGTTAATGTTGTGCAGTGGTTTGAATGTAAAGCGCTATAGCAGTGGTAGGTGTCATTATGAATGCCAAAGAATCACTTGGGTTAACTGTTTTGGATACAGTCCCCCTTGAATACACAGTGCGTTCAACACACCTGAATCCTTCTATGTTGCTTGTTGAGGCAGGACTGTGTATTTTATTGCTGCCTGGAGCCGATGAACCAACTCCTCTGCACTCTAGGAAACTGCCATGAGCTATATAATACTTCCCTACCTAGCAGGGGTGTTCTGAAGATTAATTACATCATGTGTGCACGATGTTTTGAGATTTGAAGTGCCAAATGAGAAGCAAATAATCATGAATGAGTACATACTAATAATGACACTAGATAATAAAATTAGGAATGTTGAATGCAATCTGAAAGGACTCCATATTTGACCTAAGCTCCTTGAGTTGCGTTAAGATAATGTGGCACCTTAGAGACTAACAGATTTATTTGAGCATAAGCTTTCGTGAGCTACAGCTCACTTCATCGATGAAGTGAGCCGTAGCTCACGAAAGCTTATGCTCAAATAAATTTGTTAGTCTCTAAGCTGCCACAAGTACTCCTTTTCTTTCTGCGAATACAGACTAACACGGCTGCTACTCTGAAACCTGTTAAGATAATGGTTTACCAACCACCCCATTCATTTAATTGCAGGATGGAGAGGTTTTGAAGTGTTCTGTTTGCTGCTCAGAGTGATAGACAGATAGCCCAAGATTACCATGAGCTAATCAAAGCCAGCTAATTTATCTGGACAGTCTGCAATTACTTCCCCATGTCTATATGTCACCAGACTTTACCTGATGGGCTTTGAGATGTACAGCGATGGCAGCCTGCTGCATTTATATTCCCGGGGAGAGGGGCTAGCTTTGCCTTTTGTGGCTCTCTTTTTACAAAGGCCTTTGTGCACATTCCTCTCGCTGAGGACATCAGATTGCCTGAATGGCCACAAGATAAAGGAAACAGGCAAGAAGAGGGGAAAGCCTCCTCCACCAGCTATACTGACAGCAGAAAGTGACATAAGCCGCTCTCAAGAGAGACCAGGGTTTCCCAATTATCTTCCATGCCAGGCACAGAAAATGCAACCACAGCTAAAATGGAAAGGGAAGGCAAAGGGATGGAGTCCAGTGTATCCCTGCAGAAGTTCTTGCAGAATTTGTGTCCCAAGGGGTAAGGGGAAGTTCCAATAAGGGCAACAAAACAGCCACAGAGACTTATTTTGCTGCCACAAAAGAAACCTCTCCCCTAGTGGGACAAGCATAGCCTGGATCTCTGACTGCTGCACAGATGGGATAAACTATGATACTGCAAATAGTGCATCCACCTCACATGCGTAGCTCTCCAAGGGTGGGATTGTCAAAAAGGGAGTTAGGAGGCTAAGTCCCACTGAACATTAATAGGTCAAGTGCTCCTAAATCACTTCAATGAAAATCTCAAAATCCAAAATCGAGGTGTCCACGTAGTAGAAAATGAAAACTAAAAGAAAGAAAATCCACTCCACTGATTTTGCATCACCCCAGGCACTTAGTACAAACGGCAGGGCGTCTTGCTGAGATTTATCATATTTGCAAGTATTTAAATACTATTGTGGGTATTTCAATCTGCTGCAAGTGTTTCAAATGTGTTGTGCATATTTCAAATCTGCTGATCTATAATCTACGGTGAGCATTCATAATCTGCTGCATAATCCACTGCAGCTTCGATTCCTGCCTCTGGATTTATTTCAGCAAGTTGCCATACTTTTTACAAATTGTGTTTTTAAATTCTTGAGTCAAATTTTCTCCTCATTTACTCTTGCCATACCCCCTTACTTTTTGGCTACTCAGTCTGCTGGCTGTCCATCAGGACTCCCCATGCACTAGGGACTAGGGAGAGGGCACCTTTTCCTACATAATGCCACTCCAATATCATTCAAGGGAGCCCTGGTGACACAGCATCACAGACTTTCCATGGACAGGCGTTGGGTAGCCATGCAGGTCCTACATCATTGCCTCTGCGGGAGTGGGAAGGAGTGGGCTGCATACCGGGGTCCACAGCAGAGGACACACAAGGGCTTCAGGATTTGACCGTATGCATTAAAAATTGACACATATTTGTTCAGAGACGCAAGCCTGGCAGTCAGGCTGTTCCACTCAGTGGATGGGTTAGGATACTCAGCTCATATACTAGCCGTGTAAATCCTGCACTTCTGCTGCCTTATTTAGACAAGTGCCAAATGCTGTAACAGCCTGAGAGGGAGGCCTCCTCCCTTCAGGGGTTTAGATGTGCTGCACTTCAGCATGTCTCAGGCAGAGTGGAGCACGGACAAGGGCAGAAGGACATTGTCCTGTTTATCAGTTCTTGGGAATTGCAGTATTGAAGCACCTAGCCAGGGGGTATGTTACAAACAAAAGGCACATCATAAAGGTATTAGCCTTAAGAATTTCATTAGCATCATTACTAGCTTTCAGGACCGGAGTCCTCATTTTTATTGTACCTGTTAAGCTAGCCACACATGTTGGAAAGGAGGAAGCAGAAGTGAATGTACCTGATCTAATCACAGCTGGGCCACTGTGGTTCTGCTCTGGAGAGTGGCAGATCTGCTTAGTGAGACACTGCAGCAGTGACAGCTGGTGACCTGAGACACAAAAATAATAATTTACCACTTTTTTACTCCTGTCAGCCCAGCAAAGCTGGCATAGCTCTGGGAGAGGGAGCTGGATTCCATGCTGGTTCAGGCATCACCAACGTAATTGTCTGTTGTATTTCATTGGCACCTGTGCAAACCTAATGAGGGCTATAGGACTGCCTAGGTGTCACTGAAGATAGAATTGAAAGATAGTGGAGTTGGACAGATGTGAGTGAGCCTTACAGAACTTTTATTACTGGCCTTGATGTGTGAAAAGGAAAGAACCTCAGCTTGATTCTCAGGTGCCAGATTTAGTTGGGGGACTGGAATTATCAAAATATTGTTAAGGCCGGAGTCACCAGATAGCTCTGACACATATGTAAACACTTACAGTTTTCATGTTTGAGCAAGATTTTAGTCTTTGAAGAAATGCTGTATTGTTGTTAGTTTTGATATGTACTAGTCCTTTGAGAGAAGCTGTGGCAGATAGGAGAGAGTTTGCACTTGTTATGTTCACGGCATACACACATTGATGTTAGATAAACATACCAAATACTCTTGCTGGAAGTCTGCAAAATAACATTACTTTTATTCTTAGAATCCAAAATAACTCACAGTAACCAAAAACACACAGAGAGACAAAGCAGACTGCTCCCCAAAGCAGATAGGCACAACTCACCACATCTTTTTCTAGGCTGGTTCTTTCCAGACTGACTCTGTCTCTGATTGCACTTTCCTACAGAGCCCCTCGCCTGAAAGCAGGAACAGGAATTACCACCCAGCTCTCTCAAAGTGACAGCTTGCAGTTCCAACACAGTCCTCAATAAACCACAGCTCTCTGCTTTATTCTCTATATTTTGAGGTAATTCTTGAGGCATAACTGGGCAGTAGTGTAGGGCTGAGATTTCTGGAAGAGGGGACTGTTTGCACGCTATTTGCAACTGCCCCTATTCTAGGAATGGATGTATATGTGTAAATAAACCAGGTTACACTTAGATTATACCCAGACTCTGTGTGACAGATTTCTCATCCCCTGGAAAGCTGATCCGCAAGGTCCCAGAATTTTGCTACTGCTGGGAAAAAGGGGCAACGATGGTAAACTCAGCACATGTAAAATCAGCACATTGCATCTGGATTCAATGAGAGACAATAAACATGCAACCATTTTCAATTTTTTTCCCAGAATAGAACCAAAGTTTGATGCCTTTGCTGTGAAGAGAAAAGCAGCTGTGTCCCTGAAAGTATCAGTCCTTATACACATCTTACAAATAGTGTCTGCTATGGAGTGTAGCAGTTATTAAATATTGCCAGATGGTTGAAAAAGTTCCTATACATCTTATCTACTCATTGGTGATGAGCAAACTTCAAAGGGTCCAGCACAACTAGGCTAAGCATCCAGAACGAGCCAGATCCTCAGCCAGTGTACATCAGTGTCACTTCACTGAGTGATTTACACTCATTAAGGCTCTGCCCCCAGATGTTTATCCAGTCCTGTCCCAACCTCTTGGGGCTGCAGAACTTGGGAGTGATCTCTCAGTAGCCCTTCTTGTGATATTTTAACACTTATTCCTTTCAGTCCCAGCTGAACACAGGTGGTGATGGTATGAAAATGAAAAATAATAATACTTGCCATTTATATTGCACCATTCATATGAAGATTGCAAAGTGCTTCACAAACTGCTTATGCCGGCCAACAGCCCTATTAAAGATGAATAGTTTCATATCCTTATCACGGATGGGGAAACTGAGGCACGGGGAGTTTAAATGGCTCACCTGAGATCATACAGGAAGTCTGTGGTTGAGCCAGAAACAACTCAGATCCTTGGGCTCCGAGCCCTGTATCTCAGGTACATGACCACATACGTGTCCCATAATGGGGGGAAAGAGTTCTCTGATCTTCGTGAACCTTCAAAATATATTTGCACTGGTTCTTTGTTAATATGAATCAATTTTCATATATATATGTAAGCAGAGGCAGTCACATTACAGATCAAAGGCAAGGTCTATTCTCTATCAGTTTAAGAGCCTATAACCCTAAAACCGTGGTGGCAGAATAAGATTCACAGCCACTTATCACCAGCTGAGGAGAGTCGCTTAAATAGTGCTGAAAATCAGAGCAGAGCCCACGTCCAAAACTCCTTTATGTTCAGAGGACAATCACAGCTTCTTGGAAGGAGGGATGTCCCGTGGGCCAGCACCAGGCCAAACCTGGCCAGTAGTTACCTTCTTCAGCCCACGAGGTCAAGCAGAGAGAGACTGTTGAAAAGCATGAGTTCTGGAGAGGCGTCCAGGACAGCCCCTGTTATCACGATCCCTGGAAAGGGAGCAGCAACTAGCGGAGAATGGCAGGAAAGGCCAATGGATTTTTTTGAAAATGTTGTGGCCCCAGAAGAAATATTCTGAAACGCTCCGATTGTCTGGGCTGTTTCTAAGCTGCTTTGGAGCAGTGCGTTCCTCTGAGTCAACTGTTACTCTTATCAGGGTACAGCCGGAGTTACCGTGGCTGCGTTCTTTAAGCTGCCTGTCTGTCTGCTTCCGTACCAGCACTGTAGAAACGTGCAGGCAGGCTGGGCTCCTACAGGCACAGATTGTCTCTGAGAGACAAGTAGCAGTGGGAGTCCAGGTGGGGTGTAAGTTAACGGTAGGGGGATGGTAACTCGGCCCACATCCTGTGCAGGGAAGTGAAGTAAGAACCTGGCCCATCTCCCAGTGGGGGCAATTTGGACCTTGGGCCCGGGACCTTGGTGCTGGGTGCAAAGGCGGAGGCAAGCGCTGTGTGTTACCACGCAAGCGGGGAGGGGGTGAACAGGGAATGGCCAGATCTTGGCTCCACCCTACCCACAACGTATTGGCCAACACAGCTGATTTGCACTGTGGTGCAGAGCTTGCTGCCAGGGTAGACCAGCAGGATGTTACGCGCACACAGACACACACAGACACACTCCCCGCCAAGCATGGGGAAGTAGGGAGGGGACTCTGATTCAGAAGGGTCTCTTGAGGAAGAGCACTTTATGCAGCAAGTGTTGCCCAGGGCTGTGCCTTAGAGGAACAATCTAGCCCTGCATGAATACGGCAAGAGAAAGCCAGTCACTAAACAGGGGCTGTGTTGGTTTATCTCAGCAGGGCTGTGTGGGCTGCTACTTTGAAGTGAGCTGGAGGTTCTTCGCCTGCTGCTGAGAATTAGCTCTGAGCTTGCCCTTTTCTATCTAATCTATCTGTCTGCACATTAATGCCATGCTCATCGTCCCTGTAGTAGCTGAGCGCCTTTTACATATCAGTTTCTCTGATCCCTTTTCAAGGTGACACCATCTTCCACAGCCCGTGTGCTCAAGAAGCACGGCCATTTCCTAGGGCTGTGCAAGATCTAGGGTGCAGATACTTTGCCCACGAGACACAAGCTTGAAAGCCAGAGGTGCATGACAGCTCTGCTGCGGGCAAGCAGTTGTCTGCTGAAGCAGCACCCGTCAGGGAGACACAGTGCCGTTGAGCAGGTACATACCGCCAGGAAATACACACTGCTCTGCCTTATAGCCACTGCTTGGGCTTGAGGAGAGCAAACAGGCCCACAGGTCTGGGGCCCACTGAGTTAGTCATTGTTCTTTGGCAACCCATTTGTCTTCCTTCTGCAGGGACTTAAGCAGGTGGCTGTACCTCAGGAGGGTGCTAAGCGAGCCCTCATTTCCTACTGGGCAGGCAGTTCAGGCAGGGAGCTGATATGGATTAGGGCCTTCAAGCATTCTAGGCAGCCCCCTTTTCACCCCAGTACCCTCTCCAACAATGCAAACTTGCATGCTCCATGCAAACACTTCACCCCACAAAGCCAAGGACCCACAAGGCTATATTGGGGTGGGGAGAAGGTATTATGGTGGGGTGCAAAATTCCCCCCAAACCACCTTCCTGGATCCTCCTAGCCCTGCCTGTCCCAGGAAGCAAAAGTGTCAGGGACCCCATCTACACTGGGAAATTTCAGCGCTTCCCACCCCTGTTCCGTTGGTCTAGTGCTGGTGCAGTTCCCCTGGTGAGAACAGTAGGGCAGACAGTGGGTGCAAGTGTTTTTACCACTTGTTATGATCTGCTGCACCCAGAACAGCCATCTCAAAATACAAGGAAATTAAGACAAGAATCACAAGTAGGTGGTCAATCAAAACATGTAATAACCAGCAACAGCCTGAACAAAACATAATACAGTCCCAATGGCAGGTATGTAGCAGCAACTGCACACACCTAATGCTATGTACACACACACACAAACACCCCCCCGCATGCACATGTGTGCAAACTGGACCACGGAGTTGAGGGAGCAGGCACCAAAAAACAAACAGGAACAGAGGGCAGGCAGCAATAAGGATACACACACCCCCATCATTACACCACTGGGTCATCCTACCCTGCACATCTTGGAACACATCCCGTTTTTTTAATGTACATGGACAAAGCTAGTCCACGCCAGTTTTTACGGACCAGATCAGCCGAGTGCACAATTTTGGAAGCTGCAGCTAGGAAGAATAGGCTTGTGCTTAAGACCCCAGCTGTGGTATCAGGGGACCTGAGCTCGTTTCCCAGCTCTGCCCTAAATTCCAGGGGGCCTATGGACAAGTCACCTGATCTTTCTCTTCCTCACTGTCCCCATCTGTAAAGCAGGGCTGCCAATCCCTAACCATCTCAGAAGGGCTCTTTGCGGCTTAATTCATTCCAAGGCATTAAAAGCCGTCAGCTCCTTGGAAGGACACCACCACAGCAGTGTGTATTATGATGATGATGTGGCCCTTCAAGCCTGCATGACAAAAACCCTGGAGTGGCGAAAATATTTTCACTGTGAACACGATTGCAGCAGAAAACAGTCTCTGTGAGAGGGCACATGGGAGAGTCATGCTCTGTCAGTCATCTTTCTCTGCTCTCTGCATGTGTCTCCCAAGCTCTTCTGAGGGTCTGCTGCAGCAGAGCCTTGTGTCCGCTACATGGGATCAATGTCTAGACACCTCCCAACTGAGACATTGTTTTCAATATGCTTGGCGTTGATGCAAACTTTCCCTCCATTCCATAGCTGTTTATTTTGCTCTCGCCGCCCTACGTACGTTACCTTTGTTCATGTATCAATATTCCCTCCAGGTAACAAGGGAGGTTTTACTTGTAAGGGACTGAAGCCAAACTGTGCTCATCGCAAGAATTCACACAGTAGGTTAAGCAAACACAGAAGCGACACACGGCTTCCCCAGCAATCGGTCCCTTCAGCCAACACCTCAGCTTGGGAGTTTTGGTGCGGCTGGTTTATAATGGTGCATAACCAGAGCATGTCAATGGGGTTATTTCAAACTCATCCATCTGGCTGATAATGATAAGGTAATCTGAATGGCTCCATTGAGCAGACTAATGAGGGATGCTACCTTCAGAAGCTAGATCGTTCTAGCTATGAATAGATACAGAACAGGAAAGCAGTCACAGCAATGCTTCTTTTCACTGTGGGGGAACGTGTCTAGGTTTAAAGGCTCCAAAGTACCCACCACATGTTATAATTGGGTCTGACCCTAATGCGCAACCTGGCTTCCAGGAACAGGAAAGAACAACAGCTGGTGCGGGGAGGGAGCTGCTTTATACAGAGAGGGACAAACACACAAAACTGTCAAGGGGTCAGCCCCTCTCACACAGGCCGTGCAAGTCTGCCATGCTCTCGGCCTGCCAAGGAGTCAATTTGGGCCAAAGGCCCAGCAGCAGGGACACACGAGCATTATGGACAGAGGAAGCTTCCCTTATAAAATGAGAGGCAGGGCTAATTATCCAGTGGTTAGGGCACTAGCCTAGGTCTTGGGAGGCTCTTCAAGTTTCTGCTCTGTCACAGATTTCCTCTGTGACCGCTTGGGCAAGTCATTTAGGGCCAGGTTTTAGGCACCTAAAGATGCAGCTCAGAGCTTTTGAAAATCCCACTCATTGCCCACCTGGATCATTTGGTGCACTAAAAATCTGGCCTCTCATCTCTCTGTGCCTCCATTCCCCACCTGTAAAATGGGAATAACGGCACTTGCAAAGGGCATTGGGAGGATGAATACTTTTGTTCTGTGTTTGTCCATACTGGGGTCCTGGTCTGTGACTGGGGCTCCTAGGCTGTACTGCATAACAAAGAATTACTACTACTAATAATAAATGCATTAAAGATTGTGAGTCGCTCAGATAATGGGGGCCAGATAAGAAGCTTAGCTAGATAAAGACAACAGGGCAGTATTGTGCAGTAACGGATCACAATAAGTTACAGCTCCTTGCCTTCATCTTCCAGGCTCCACATGACCCCATCCTGCACATGCCTCCACCCTCCCTCCTGTACCCCATTGGCCTGGCAGCAGTCTAGCCGCCGGATGCTGTAGTCCACGGGGATGGGAGCGTTGGAGTTTATTCAAAGTTTATCCTGTTGCTCATTTCATTGGCTGGGGAAACAATAGCCAGGGTCAGAGCTTAGTGGGACTGAGCAGGTAAAACAGAGGGGTCAAGAAGATAAACACGTTCCAAATTGGCACCACTGAGGCCCAAGGCCAGAGCTCTTTCAGGGATTAAGTCCCGGGTGCTTTGTATGAGTCACGTATTTTCCTACTTACCCATAGTAATCTAGGCAGGCTCACTGACACAGTGTGGCAGGAAAGCCCAATTGTTCTAATGGAGACATCGCGTGAGGGTGAATGTAACAGCAACTGGCAGGAAGAGATGCGCTGAGATATAACCACAGAGCTAGTGGCCATATGGAAACTTTAGTTGGGCACTGGACACCCAGCCTGTGTCAGTGCCTAGGGTACGTGCATATTTCTTAGCATATTGTAAATATGCATCTGCACTTCTTGTCTTTCCTTTGTAACCACAGGAAGAGTTGAAACCACACACTGCCTGGACCGGGGAGAAGTGGAAATCTATCAGAAATGTGTGTTAAGGTTAGTCCCCTCGCACCCTCATTGTATGCACTTCCAAAGGCATATTTCATACATGGCCATGACCTACCTGCCCATCTTCTCTGGGCTGGGTGCTCATCATGGACACACCATCCGTGGGCTCCTTTCACCAGGAGAACAGAGAAGGAGAATTGGACAAGAACAGTCAGAAAATTCAGTGACAGGCCATAGAAAATTACTCATAACGCCCTGTGAAAAGCAGATCCTAAATGGCAATTCTGTACACAAAAGCATGCATGCAATTGCGAGTCTAATTTGCTCATTCAGTAACTACAGTTGCCCAAGCAAAGTGGGTAGTTGCCCATACAAACCAGCTGGTTAGACATGTGCCAGTAACTGATCAGCTGAATGTCAGACCGCCTGCACAGTCACTGGAATTGTGCACAAATGCGTGCATGATTTTCACATAAATGTACTTTGCATTTATAAAAAACTTTAAAAAATAAGGATCATTCTGAGGAGTCAGGAGGGAAAAGAGCTCAGAGGAGACCCAGCAATAACGGATGAGTCATTCCAACATTATGGGCCTGATTCCAGAATCTGGCTGTGCAGTACTTAGTGCAGGAGCTGAGCTGTGTGGAGGACGTGGCTCTAAGCCACCTTCCCGCTCTCCTGATCGTTGGCTTAAGGATTTAGAGCATTCCGCTGGCCAAGCATCAGCAGAAGGCCCCAGCTCCACCCCTCATGTCCCTTATCCTCCCTACATCTTGTGGGAGGAGATCGGTAAGTGGCATAGAGCCAGCTGCACTGGCTTTACATCCCCCAAGGATTCCCCTACATCTGGGAAGCCTCTCCATCCTCTTTGGGCAACTGTCCACCTTCTTTGGGCCACCAGAGCAGCACAAAGAGGAGAGAGGAAGGGGCCAAGCCTGGTTCTATAATTGGTGTGATAAGAATATGAGCTACACAGGCTGTAATAGACACCGCAATGAGTGCAGGAGAAGAGGACCCATGACTTATTACAATAGGAACAGACATGGCTGAAATAATGGAAAGGCCTGTACTTTACCAATGTGCTTCCCTCTGATCCAGACGCTTATGTTGTCTCTGCACTGAGAAAATACAGACACCCACGGCTCACATGCGATGCGAGGAACTTCCAAATGGTTTAGATATGCCTGCTTATGTTGCAACTCATGACCAAAGGCTGCTTGTTGCAAAACAAACCACACTTGACGTCACCACACAGCTGGGAAGAGAGTGATTTTTTTTTCAGATCACAGCAAATAGCCACAGAGATCTGTGAAGCTGGGTTACGAGCAGCCTCTTCAGCAGTTACAAAACTAAATCAACGTTAGCTGGTGTTTGTGAAATGGGTGGGGAGCTTTGTGCAATCCTTGTGGTGCAGGAGAACATCGTCAGAGTAACAGGATGAATGCTCAGAGTAACAGGATGAATGCTAGTGGAGGGGAAAGCCGATCGGTAAGGTGCTCTCCAGTTGAAGGCACTCACCATCACTCAGGATGAAGCCCAGGGTTCACAGGGTCAGTTATGAGAAGTACCCAAGTGGTCAGATGACACTACAGAGTCCAACACACCCAGGAGAGCGAGTCTGAGACTTACACGCCAATCAGTTCCAAAACATTCACTGCCACTAGATGTCACTGAGGCCAAGAGCTTTTGTAGGATTCAGAAGAAGATTAAATAGGAGAGCACTCAGTTACATTAGTAGGATTAAACAGTTATATTAAGGATCTTCAGGTTCTGTTGGCTCAAACCAACAATTAAGTGTCTGGGATTAGGTAGAAAGTTCCCCTAGGGGCTAGTTATTTCTTCATTGTCCTCTATGGGGTTTCTTGCCCCTTCCTCTGAAGCATCTGGCAGTGGCCATTGTCAGAGACAAGATATGGGACTGGATGGACCCTGGTTTTGATCAGTAGGGCATTTCCTGTGTTCCTATATTGCTCTTATTGTAGGTTCCAATATGCACGTGACGCCATGCTATTAATCTAAGGCTCTTATATGGCCTCCATTACCATGATGTCTGAGCACCTCACAACCTTTAATGTGTTTATGCTTACAATACCCCTGTGAAGTAGGACTGTGCTGTTATCCCATTTTGCAGCTGGGGAACTGAGGCACAGAGAGGCTAAGTGACTTGCCCCAGGTCACATAGGACATCTGTGGAAAACCAGGGAGTTGAACCCAGGTTTCCTCAGTTCCAGGCAAATGCACTAAGCACCGGGTGATCATTCCTCTCTCAGTTAGAACAAGGAATACGCTGGAGTGGATCCTGCAGCTTTATAAGGCTGTGTTCTTCCCAGGGTCCACAGGAAATAGCAGGGCCAACATGGTAATTGATTTTCTATTCTTTCCCTGGAGGGGTTTTTTGACTGCACAGTTTCAGCACTTTTGAAATCCCACGCTGCTCTTTTGGCTTCCAGGTAAAGAACACTTCTCTGCAAGCGTCCCAGAAGCCTTTGCAGGTGCTTCATCTGCATTTGTGCAACCTTCCTGGGATCTGGAGCCAATTCAGCAAGAGAACCTGGGCCAAGAACTGCTTGACAATCACTTGACTGCTCTTAGTGAGCTGTGGCCCACCCTGCCGATCCCCGGATGTGGCTGAGCTTCCAGCCTTGCCCTCATCTCTCCATGCCTCTTAGGCTCTGTACCAGTGAGCAGACGCAGCAGAGGGTGATGACACAGCAAGGATCTGACCCAACACTGTCTGCTGCCAATTCTCACTCCGCTCCAAGGCAGTCTATTAGATCAACGCCTGGCAATCTCAGCCTCTGGTTTACAGACTAAGGGCTCTATCCTGCAAGGTGCTGAGCTCCCTCTACTCTCCTTGAATTAGCCACCCAGCACTTTACAGGATCAGGCCCTGAATCTAACCAAAGGTCACATGTTCCAGTGTTAGTATTCCATTTTCACCCTGTGCAGAGACCGGCTTACACTCTCCATGGGTAGGCAGTCGGGAGCTTTTCTTTTACTTTGGCCGACATTGAGCCCACGGCTTGTAAACTAAAATCAAGTTGATTTGCATTTTCCATGGGCAGCTTAGAGTCATGGATAATTCATTCTCCACACATCTCTAATTAAAATGCTGCCCAGCAGGCTAAACAGGGCTGGGATTTAGCCAAATGTCCCCCTGGCCAGGTTGGGTGTGGAAGGCCCAATGTGGCTTGAATTTTGGGTGTAGTATCACTTACCGTGCTGCATCCAAACCACAGGACAACTAGGATAGGCGACCTTTCAGGACATGGAAGATTTGAAAGCTCTGAGCAGAGGTGAAGTGCAGCCGCTCAGGAAGGAATCCTGCAAATTAAAGGCCTGATCCAAATCCAACAAAGTCTTTCCATTTCCTTGGGATCAGGGGGCTAAATGCTGTTCCAAAGGGGAAGCAGTGACTTGGATTCCCGCAATATATTTATTTCAATACATATATGCAGAAGGAGCTCACTGGAACCTGCGGCCAGCTTTTTCGGGCACTAGCCCTACAGGGCACTTATTGATTTTTCCCTTTTAATTCTGGTTAGCTACAGAAATAGGGGATCTGATTAAGCTGTAGACCATCGAAGCTGGGTTGGGCGAGGCCTGTCAGGTGCAGCAGGTAGGCTGCTGGTTTTTCAAGCATACAGAGGATGACGATATAGTAAAACTAGCTGGATAGGCCTGGAATTCAGGCTCCCCAAAATAAACAGTGACTGTAGCTGTAAGCAGGGGAGGTTGTTAGATGAAGGAATCCTTCACACAGACCTTGGGACAGAGTTTTCACAGACTAGAGGCATTTGCTCATGCAGTTGCAGTTTCTGTGCATACAAATTAGCCGGACACAGCTGAGCACGTTTTGCACATGGAGGTGTGTGCAATCTGGCCGTTTAATCGGTTAGCAGTGTGCCTGCCACCCAGACAGAGTCTGGCATTTATCTGGAAACAGAGGCCAACTGAAATATGAAGTATTTTTATGTTTGTTTAGGAAATACCGCAGCTGCAAAACACCCATTGCTACCTACACCCATGTACACACACACATTCAGAAATTCAGTCATGTACACACACTCAGTCTTACTCATAGTGTCATAATCACACACATACACACACAGGTATACACACATACATCACAGATTTGGCACCATTTAGACTCATCACATGCGTAGTACACATATACAGCACAATTCATGTTCCTATATTCCTCACGCATACACCACGTACAGTACATCGTCATTCACACACACACACACAGAGCCTCACTTCCTGGAACAGTCATTTGGCACCAGCCAAAATTTTATATGTATAGAAAGCTGCTCCCACTTTCAAGACAATCCCTCTTATATTTCCCATTAATCTAACTGCTGCTGTCCCCGTTTGGAAAGTGCTTTCACAGAACTACTTTATTACATTTCCAATGGGAAGGTTTTAGCCTTGGGTTTCTTGCTTTTGTGTGTTGTTTTTTAAGCATTGCATTCTGCTTCGGGACTAAGGAAAACAGACAATTGGGGGAGGAGAATGGGGGCTACGAGAGAATTGGTTACATTTCCAGCTTTGCTAATGAGAACTCCAAATGTGCTCAGTGGGCTGCTCTCAGCATGGAGCTCTCAGCAGCGAAGACAGCCAGGGCCATTTTAATCATTTCCAGATTTGTGTGGGAGGTCAGGGCCCTGGGGTGCCGCTCCATGTCAGTTTTATAAACACTGCAGTTTTTCCAGATGGTCTCTGGCTCCAGCCTGGCTAGCAGGTTGATTGGGCCAGACCAAAATAACAACAGGTGGAGAACAGGCCATGACTGCCTGACGCTATCTCCTTTTTCCATCTATTCCCCAAAAGATTTTTTTTTTTCTTTGCAGAAAACAATTAACATTTGCTGGGGCAGATCTGCGGGGGCAGCGGTGGGGAGGCCAGCTCCAAGGTCCACACCTTTGCATGCCAACATGCATCTCTGTATGCCAGGTCCTTGCCAGGACTGGGTGTGACTTAAAGGCCAACCACACTCCTGGAATCACATGTTCCTTTGTGTTTGGGTTTCTTTCTTTGCTTGGCTGTTTGACTTTACCCAGCACAGCCCCTATGCCAAGCACCATACAAACCCTCACAACGCTGTCCACACGGGAGAGGGATTATGCACAAATTGGGGGAAAACTGAGGCACACAGTTACCTAGGGCCAGATTTGTCAAAAGTGTTAAAGGAATGAAAACATTGTGTACAAAATGCATGTTCAGTTGTGTATCTAATTTGCACAGACAGACACAAAAGTTAAGCATATAAATGGAGGAATTAGGCTTCCAAATTGGGTGGTGAACCATACCGGTATACAACTGACCATTTTGCACTTGCAGTCACAGCAATTGCACAGATTGGTTCTGCAGCCGAGCGTGCCTTTTGGACGTACATTCGTATGCCTAAATATTTTGAAAATCTGGCACTATATATATATGCCTTGCCTAAGGCTAAACCACAAAGTTCCGAAGTCCAGACTAGAAAATGGACTTCCTGCTTTCCAAAGACCGCCACTGCTTGTTCCATAGACAAGGGCAGTAAAAAAGGGGAGGCTTTTCATCTACCCACACTGATACAATGGTCCCGCTTTTGCAGGAGCAATCAACCAAACATAACGGATTCCATCCCAAAATTGAGGATGCAGACATTTCCACGTGCAAAGCATGTGCAAAGTGTAGGTCAGACAGAGCTGGCCATTCACTCCTCAGTTTCTCTCTCTCTTATTGGCATTAGTAAACTGCAGCAGCTCAAAGCACCCAATTAGACCCAAGGCATCAGGGGTTCGACTTGAAAAGAAAGAAGCCCTCTCTCCCTTAGCTGCTTTATCCTGAGGATTTTCTGTTGTTTCCTAGCTAGGGAGCTGACTCAGCAGATCAACTGCAAAGATTCAGACCAACAGACTTTATTCCATGACTGGATCTCAATCTTTACTCTTCTGAGTCCTGCGGTGACATTCCTCCTTCATCTTTTTCATTAACTCTTTAGGAATGTAGTTCCAAATTGATCACCCAGGAGTATGAAGTCTGCTGTGTACATTTCCAGGGCTTAGAGGAAAAACTCAGTCTCCATGGCACATCCACTCCTTCGCTTCTCCACTGAGACAGCCAGCAAGGGTGCCCCATTAGTGCCATTAGTTTTGGTGGCTTTGTGTTGTGGACACTTGTCCACCAGGAGCTGCTCTGAGACCCATCATCTAGAGGGTAGGGGTATATTTCAAGAGTCGGTGGGTGAGACTCTTTGGCCTGCAATCTGTACAGGCTCAGATTAGATGATCATTATCATCCCTTCTGGCTTTAAAGTCTATGAGCTCATTCTGGACTGGGCTAGATTTGAACCATCAGCCCCGTGTTGACAGGCTATTAGTAAATGCCGGCTCTCTGTAATTTTAGATTTTACAGAATTTACAAAAAATTTTAGATTTTTTCCTCCCCCCCCCTCCAAATTTTGAATTATTCTGCTTTATTTTCCACCCTGGTTCTAGACTTTGAGTTTACGGCTCTTGTGCCACTGAAAGGCAAATCAATCTCCGGCTAGCTGTGTGGAAGCTGACATTTGGTACTGTGGGCTCCACAAACTAGCTTCTTAATAGCAGTCACAGCAGTAATACTGTAGCAGGCAGCGTAGGAAGTGTCTGTTAAACTGGGACGTCAGGCTAATATCTGAGATCTGGCGCAATCCTGCCCTCTGAGTCCATGTGCTCTGGCAAGTACCGTGGGGGCCAGTACTGTAAAGCCTCAAGGGCTCAAATGCCAGGGGGCACACGGAATATGTTCCAATGGCGGCAGGTTTGTAGAGTCGTGAGGTAACTCAGATAGACTGGGTAACACAATCCTGTTTGGGTGATTATAGAGTTTGGATAGTCAAGGTTATGCTGTACTGTCCTTGATCCACAGCAAAAGTCTCATTGATCTCATAGGGCTGCTATAAACACATCAGGCCAACTCCTCAGCTGGTGTGACACAGCATGGCTCCATTATGGCCAATGGAGCTACATTGATTTTCGTCAGCCGCAGACTAGCCCATCACATTCTGCAGCTCCAAGCAGAAAGATAGGAGTTGAGGGTTGTCTTAATAGATACCTGGAAAACCACTGTTTTCAACTACACTCAGACTGATCTGCACTTCACAGTCGGGACTATTTCACATTTGCCTTACCGTGAAAGAGGCTCTGTGGGCCAAATCCTCATACCCAGGAGGTGGAGTTTTGGCCACAGGTTATAAAATGCCTGTGGGTGTAAATTAGAAAGTGTATGTTATGCACACCAAGCCAAGTACTTACTCATGTCTGCAGCTGCTCATTTTAGACATCTAACAGCAGCGAGTGTAGTTTACTCATGCAAGTCCTGGGGTGAAACTACACAGGTACAAGGCCTGAATTAAAAGAAATAAAAACAAGCCCTGTAATCATGCATAAAAAGCCTTCACCTAACTTGTGCAAACAATTATTCCAGCAGTGCACATCAGTTCACAAGTAAATGTGTCTAATTAGCCATCTGTGCTTTCTATTGCCACAACTGTGGTCATTTCAGGTGCAAAATGAGCATGCAGGACATGGGCACACTTTTTGGGCCTCTTCTCTAAATATCTGGGCCATAGTATTGGCTGGCTGAACAGTAAGGATCTATAGTTGAAACGTTCCAAAGGGGCCTCAGCCAGGCCTCCGAGGGTGATATTTTCAAAAGTACCTTGGAGAGTTAGGCACCCAGACCCATATCCTCACAGACATTTAAGTGGCTAGCTCCTATGGAACTAAATACCTTTGAAAATCTGGGCCCCAGTTCCTACTGACATTCAATAGAAGTTAGGCACCCAGTACCCTTAGGCACTTTTGAAAAATCTGTTTTGGCGATTTGCCTTCATAGATCTTCATTTTCCAGAAGAACGTCAAAGCTCCATTAATCAGGATATTTGCCCATTCTCAGCCCTAACACTAACCTCTTTCTACAGACTACAGATTTCTTCCATAGCAAATAGTCCCCTTACGTCTAAAACACACTGACGCAGAAGAATGTAAGTCCCCCACTGTTAATTACACAATCCCAGGATAAATATAGCTCTGCCCCGTCCCTGTAATTTGTATAAATTGCTCACAATGTTGCAATTTAGTATTTAAGTCCAATTTATTTTGTGTTGATTAATGGAAAAGAGGCTTCCTCCTGTGACCAATAAAAAAGCACTTGCAGGCAAAGAGCTCCATATAAGGAGCCTGCAAGGGGGCTCTGCTCTGTCAAACTGCACACAATCCCACAAGCATGTCCGTCAAGGGTCTGCCAGCTGCTCCCAGGAGACAGCCAGTTTACCCAATGGTTTGTGTGACAGAAGAATTTCCTTGCCTGTTATCACATGGAAACCTCCACCAGTGCAAAAGCAGCAAAAAAGGGAACGAAACATTCATTACTGAATGTATGTTTTTGTATATGCAATTTCCATGAGGCAGGGGAGCAATTGCACATCTAGTTTGCATACATAATCATCATGATTGCATGCACAAATTCACTGCATGTACAGATTCACTGCATGTACAGGCAAATGGCCATTTGCGTCAATTTGTATAAGCAACATACCCATGGGGGTGGGGGAGCGTATATATTTGTGTGTGAGAGAGATAGAAATAGTCACAAAACAGGTAAATAGATTCACTTCTGCCACAGCTACATCTACGCACACACACACAAAGCCAAACAAACAAAAAGCTCAACCACAGCAACCAAACCCAGGAAATCTATCTTGTCTGCTTCATTAAGAAATCTAGGAAATTTAGAACCTTATACTTTGCATTTTTGACTATCTCCTAAAATGGAAATTATGAATTTCCGCACTTTAGGGTCTGGAAAGCTTTACTCTGGGAGTTATGCAGGACAGCAAATCTGGAAACTCTCGAAGCTGGTGTGTTAGCTGTGGTAGATTCCTCTCTCTCCTTTCCCCCCAGCCTTTTGCTAGCATTATTGGTTGTTTAGGATCCCCAATTGTGCCATGTTTGAATAGGCCCCAAGCCTGAGAACACTTATATGCCTAACTTTACTCATGTGAGCAACCCAATTTAAATCAGTGATCCTACTCACATAAGTACAACTACATGTGTGTAAGCATTTGCAGGATCCAGGGATTTGGGTTGCTAGCTCATCATGGCAGACAGGCGGGCATGACAGGTCTCTACTTCTTTCTTTGAAGTACCTAGCACACTCAGAATAATAAATAAATACTTTTGCACTCATAGGTTATTTTATCCTCAGAATTTAAAGCACTTTACACAAGTATGTAAGTAAGTGAGACAGAGAGAGGTTAAGTGACTTGGCCAACGTCACCCAGTGATTCAGTGGCAGAGTCAGGAATAGAACTAAAGGTTCCTATGCCCAACCTCTAACCCCTGACACTTGAGAGTATTAACAAATAAAATCAGAGTTTGGTTTGCAGAGGGAGGCTCTCCACATCACACTGGTCATTTTCATGATCTCTAACTTTTCCCTGACATAGGGAGGTCAGCTCTTGTCTCTCTGCAGCAATGGCAGTTCCACCACCTACTTGGGCAACTTGTTCCACTGCCCTGACTGTCGAAGGGAGCCATAGAACGTTAGCTGATATTTTACTGAAGGGCTCCCTGCTGCAGCTTAAACCCTTGTTCTCGCCTTAGGGCCACATCCTGGTACCACAGAACTCATGGCAAAACGCCCTTTGACTTCAATAAAACTAGGACTTGGCCTAGTGAGAATAAATGCTGAGCCCTGATCTTGCCACACCTGTAGGCAGTGTGAACTATAATATCTGTATATTTTTTGTCAACACTTCTGAAGTGTGAGCAGCTGTTGCCCCACATTCCACAACGGGAGCCCATAATGATTTCTTCTGTTACTGGCACTCGTAACTCTCTAGGTCTTAACACCCAGAAAACACTAGTCTCTGGCAAATGCTATTTTCAGGCATAAAGGAATTGTTCATATAAAATCAGAGCATTTCTTTAGAAAGGTTCTGAAGCTACATAAATCAAGCTACCCACACAGCCCACAGCCAACACCACAAGGAGCTATCGGAAATGACACACAGTAGATCTTTCTCCAGAACCGTGTCGGGTAGAAATTGCATCATTTGTGCATGGACAGGAAAGTGGGCTCCAGTTTTTACGAAGATGCTGAATAAAAAGAACCTCCCTCCCTAGAAATAGATGTGTTTCAATGACAGGTGGCTCCATGGTAGTTGCATACGTTGATACGGCAAAACACAAAATGCAACATTCTGGCCCCACTGAAGTCTATGGCAAAATTCCCATTAACTTCAGTGGGGACAGCATGTCAACTAAACTCTCCAGAAAATGACCCAGTGTCTCCTCGTTACCTCATGAGCTATTGGGAACCTCCCATCTAATATGGATGTGTGTGAATGGATGCAGTAATTCATGCTGTGATACCCGGCTAAGGTTTTTAAAAGTGACTAGTGATATTAGGTGGTTCAATTTTTAGGTGCTCATCTCGAGATGCCTTAAAAGAGACCTGATCTTCAGAAAGTGCTCAGTGCCCCCTCTCTGAAAATCAGACCTCCTCAAGGCATCTCTCATTGGGCTTTGAAAAACGGAGCCACTCAAAATCACCAGTCACTTTGGGAAATCTTGGCCAGCAGGGTCCACCCACCAGCTCCTCATTGGAGAGGTGGGGATTCAGCCACCTGCCTTGATACCTGATAGCAGATGGGATTTAGTAACTGTATTTAACCCTTGAAATTGGGCTCATAGATTTGACGTTGAGACAGACACTGAAGGTTGAGACAGACAAGGAATGCCACTGGCAGGGGTATGAATGAAACTGCACGTGCTCGGAGTCTCAGCATTTGTACTTGCAGTCAATGCAGAATCCATTCCCTCAGCCCAGTGAGGAATGGGTTAGTAAAGCTGAGATCCTCTCCTGAACTGTTGCCTAGCATTGCTGTGCCCTGGAAAGCCCTCTTTCAGGAAAGTGGGAAATACATGCTTCATTTTAAGCATATTAAATCCCAATGGAACTTAAGCATGTGCTTTAGCGCTTCTTGGAATGGATGCTTTAAAGAGCTGGGATGTTGCACTCCAGAAGTGCAATACCTGGACACAGGGGATTCTTCAGGGGTGAATGGCAGTGTCAGCAATGACAAATTTATCATTCTTCTCTGCAAAGTCAATATACGGTTGAACTGAACATTGGAAAATATAAACATTGCTATGGACTTGGGTTTCCGACACCGCCAGTTTGGGTGGCTGCTGCCACCACCGTGCTTTGCACCTGCAAATGTTACCTTGCATAACCCCCTCGCTCTGATCCCTTCTTTCAAGGACCCTGTCCCCAAGAGTAGGGAGCTCACTAATAAATACGGTGGATGCTATTTGAAGGCCACTGCAGGAAAAGCCAGTCACCACAGCTCCACTCCAGACTGTATTAAGAACTCTTACTTTATTAATTACAAGTGAGCCTATGAATGAATGAATTTAGAGTCCCCTCCTGGAACCATCAGCCAGGTCCCGGAACAACCCAGCTGTAACTGGCAAGTCTCAACACTCTCTGCAAAGAGTTCTTTTATGTAGTACAATTATTATCTATATATGCACATATATACAGTGTGTGTGTGTGTGTATCTACACTTCCCATTCCTCTAGGCTTTTCACTGAGAGTGGGAGAAACAGAGGCTGTTTCTTTTATTAGACAAAAGAAAAATAATGAAGGACGGACATAGGAAGCCCACACATTAAGCCACCCTCTTGGAATATTCTACCAAGCTCTGTTCCCATGTTGCTTCCAGAGACTCAGGCTAGCATCCCTTATTGGTTGCACCTGGCTGCTATTAACTATTCAATCAAAAAGGGATCACAAGCCAGATCGGAACTTTTTTACACAACAAACGCTGTTTGTTTTTTGGTGGGTTTTTTTTTAAAGCTAACTCTGGCCTTTGTTAAAATGAGCAAGATTTTTCTCTGCTTCAGAAAGCAGGAGGTGACGCAAACACATTTATAACTGGCTGAGAGGAGCCAGTTACAATATTATAAAAAAAAAAAAATTACAATACAAACTAGGACCAATTGCTACCCCTGGGAAAAATCAGGAGATTGTTGGCTGGGAGGCGGGATCCAACTTACATGAAATATTAGAACCATCCTAGAACCTTCACCCAAACTGAACCTCAACTAAAACTTTGTGTGTGCGGGGGGGAGGGAGAGGAAGGAAGAATAATTATAAATATATTATTGGTGACAGTGCCATTCACCCCCAAATACTGTCTGTGTCTAGGTGTCTAAAAACTTGGGTTATATTTTTTCTACCCTGTTTCTTTTCATTGTCTAGGGGTTTGGGGTTTCCTCGTTCTGGATGAGATGACATAAGAATTGCCAAACTGGGTCAGACCAATGGGTCATCTAG